GATTCTAGCTAATTGTTGTATGCTATTTTATATAAATTAATGTTATTTATTTCATATTATTTACATCATAATGCTAGTTTTTATAGTCACAACCGAATAATTGGCAATGGTCTTGTAGTTATATTCTATCATAAAATGCTATCAATATCGTGATACTGTAATAGCACAAACTTTGCTATTATACTTGTCTGGTCAAATACATTGTGTGAATGCATGAAGAATAGCTTACGTGGATCATGCAATCAAATAATTGAGTATCCAAAATATCATGATTACAGATTCTGTAGATACGCAATATGTACACACATATAAAACAAGATAAATACTAGTAATGGGTTCATTAATTTGAAAATTATACATAAGTGCAAAAAAATAAGGGGAAGATATCATTGTGAGTACCAGAAAGGCAAGAACAAAGAGCACATAATCCTTCTTTTGATAACCCTCTCGATAAGTTTCATGCATACGGACTACTCCCAACAGGTCGACGGGTTATACGCCATTTTTCCTGGTGTATGGTGTAGAAGCCGTATTGCCCAATGATATCCGCCATGATTCTCCAAGGGTTACTGCCTACATTGAAGTAGCAGCACCAAGATCAGCGATATATCAACAAGACCTACGTCGCTATCACAGCCATAGAGTTTGAAGGTAACTTAGTGCTTCGTCTGATACAATAACAGACTGGGATGCATAATCTCTCCCCACCCTAGGAAGGACAACCCTTCGTCATTAGTAAGAATCTGCATAATGGGTCTTACTACCTTGTTGACATACATGAAGAAAATGAATCACGTACGTCCAAGGCTAGGCCACCGTGCCATGAGATGCTTCAAATGCCAGCAATATTTGGAGACGGCCTCTTGGATGGTGTACCATCGATAGTTGAGGGATTTTCACTTACAGTTGTGGATCAACGCATCGGAGTAGGGCGTGAAATGCTTGTGATCATGGAACCATATGTGAATGTTCCTCCGAAAGGTTGTGCCCTTTTGCTCTGTGCCATGGACAGGATCGAGGTTAGTGGCCAACCATGCGTCGCACATCATCTTGTCCTCCGGAATGTTGAAGCTTTCTCCTCTACCTTTATTCTTCGGATCGCTGGCCATATCATCTGAATCATCGTCGTAGCCGTCCTCCCCCTCCTCCTCCTCCTCCTCCCCCTCCCCCCCTTCCGGATGTTGCTCTTCGGCGGCCCAATGTTGATGTTGATGTGTGCCATCGCCGGTCTTGGTGTAGGACTGCTGCGTGGCCGTCAGGGTGTAGGACTGTTGTTGCTGGTAGTTACCGGACTCGGTGAGATCCGAGTCTTCCACCTACCTGTCCTCATAGCCCTCCTCCTCCCTCACCTCCATCGTGGATGATATCGAGCATCTCCCTATCCGTGTCGTACGCCGTCTCACCTGCTCTCGGCATTGCAGCAAACAACGCTCGAGCACCCATCTGCTCTCTGCCCACCGTCCTTGTCCAGACGAGCGATGGTGAAGAATACTTGGGGAAGAGCGGCGCCTCGCTAAAATCGATGATATAAGGAGCCATACCGGTGGGGGTTTGTGAGCTGCTTGGCGGCGTAGTAGTACGGAGGCTTGTAAGGCTCCGGCCATGGCGCCGTCTGTACTGTGGGCGCGCCCGTCTGGCGGCGTCTGCCATGGCCTCGCCGACCGCCCCGTCCGCCACGCCCACCATGCCCATCGCCACCACCTGGCCCACTGGCGGCCAGACACTTCTTCATTTTCTCCTTCTTTGCGGCCTTCGCTTTGATGCGTTGTTGCGTCTCCGAGCTAATCTTCCGGGCAAGCGTGATGCTCGGATCCTTCGACACCTCCACCAGCTCCATCTCCGACATGTTCTCCGACGGTTCCATACGTCGACGACGGGGGAGGGAGAGGGTGGGAGAAAAGAGCAGGAATTGGGCGGAGAGCGGCGGGGAGTGGAAGAAGAGAGTGAGGGATTTTGACGCGAAAAAAATGTGGGATGCCACAAAAGCGCGGGCTTGACCTTCCTTT